ATGGTATCGAAAGCCACTGAGATGTCCAAGAGAACCAACAGGGTCACACTGCCCCTGTCCAGCTCCCTGCGGAGGTCATCCACCAAGGCGACCAAAACCTTCTTGGTGCCGTGGCCAGGCCTGACTGTGACTGGTCCAGGTAATTGATGTCATCTAGAAAACCCTGGAGCTGGAAGGCGACCAACCGCTCCAGCACCTTGCCCAGAAAAGGGAGGTTGGAGATTGGTCTGTAATTGTTCAGCACCGTGGAGTCAAGGGAAGCCTTTTTGAGGAGTGGGCAAACCACAGCCTTGCAGTATTCCCCCTTCTTCTGATGCGTAATATCTTGCGGTATTCTTCCTTTTGATGTGAAATATCTTGAAGCATTCCTCCTTCTTTTTGAAGTGCAATATCTTGCAGTATTCCTTCTTTTTGTTGTACTATACCTTGCAGTATTCCTCTTCTTTAATGTGAAATATTGCGGCATTCCTTCTTCTTTCTGATGTGAAATATCTTGCAGTAGTCCTCCCTCTTTCTGAAGTGCAATATCTTGTGGTAGTCCTTCTCCTTTCTGATGTGAAATATCTTACAGTATTCCTCCCTTTTTTGATGTGAAATAACTTTTAGTATTCCCTCTTCTTTTTGATGTGAAATGTTGCAATCCAGACAAAATGGGAAGATATATGACAAGGCTGAAAAAAACCATTTTGAGCATCCTAACCCACGATGGTAGCAAATTATCCCAAATGTGATTCTTTGCAATTGAACACAACAATCCTGCTGAATTATTTTAAAATATATGCTTTTTAAAAGCAGATCTTGCTTCTCCCAGTGAATTTGAAAGATTGGTGCTGTGGTTCATTGGCATACCCCCTTATTAGTTAGTCCCAAAAAAATCTTCAGAGCTTTTGATCCAATCAAACACTGAAGGCAGGAGACTTTCTTACAACACGTTTAATTGATCAAGTCACCCTGTTGGGTTAGCAAAAGGAAAGTGCCACAACAAAGTGATAGGCAGTTTGGGTTTATAGTCATAACTTTTCAGCATGTGTTTTCATGTGATATTTTTCGACCTCGAGACCTTGTAGTCCCTCTCTCTTTGACCCTCCCTCTTTCTAGATTGCAGGACATCAAGACCTATCCTTTGAACTTCCTCTTAATGTTTGGATCCCTCATCCTCTGTTGCTCCAAGGTGTATGCAATATTTTCTCTGAACTTTATTTTGTTGGTATTACTTTATTTTTCCCATCTCCAACTTCAGCATTGTCACCTGGAGTCACCGCTGTGATCGTGATCGTGATGTTGGCCTTGGGATCGGGCCTAATTGGAGGCCTGCTTTATTTCTTTCTCCGTGAGTAAGACTTTGGAAACTTCCCAGAACTTCTCTCTTTTTTTTCTCTTCCCAATCAAGAGGGAAAGCAATGCAACTATAGTAATAGCTATGCGGAATACGCTCTTTGCCAGACTGCGAATCCATCCAAATGTCATTAGTTGACTTGGTTTCCTATCTAAATGTAGCACAGAGTTCATCTAGATCAGTATTTCTCGACCTGTGTCGCGCCCCCCCCCCCCAGATGTTTTGGCCTTCAACTCTCAGAAATCCTAACAGCTGGTAAACTGGCTGGGATTTCTGGGAGTTGAAGTCCAAAACACCTGGAGGACCAAAGGCAGGGTTGGTCCTCCAGGTGTTTTGGACATCAAATCCTGGGTTGGTCCTTCAGGTGTTTTGGGCTTCAACTCCCAGGTGTTTTGGAATTCAATTCCTGGTCCTCCAGGTGTTTTGGATTTCAACTCCCAGGTGTTTTGGACTTCAACTCCTGAGTTGGTCCTCCAGGTGTTTTGGACTTCAACTCCTGGGTTGGTCCTCCAGGTGTTTTGGACTTCAACTCCTGGGTTGGTCCTCCAGGTGTTTTGGACTTCAACTCCTGGGTTGGTCCTCCAGGTGTTTTGGACTTCAACTCCTGGGTTGGTCCTCCAGGAGTTTTGGACTTCAACTCCCAGGTGTTTTGGACTTTAACTCCTGGGTTGGTCCTCCAGGTGTTTTGGACTTCAACTCCCAGGTGTTTTGGACTTTAACTCCTGGGTTGGTCCTCCAGGAGTTTTGGACTTCAGCTCCCAGGTGTTTTGGACTTTAACTCCTGGGCTGGACCTCCAGGTGTTTTGGACTTCAACTCCCAGGTGTTTTGGACTTTAACTCCTGGGTTGGTCCTCCAGGTGTTTTGGACTTCAACTCCTGGATTGATCCTCCAGGTGTTTTGGAGTTCAACTCCCAGGTGTTTTGGAGTTCAACTCCTGGGTTGGGCCTCCAGGTGTTTTGGACTTCAACTCCTGGATTGGTCCTCCAGGTGTTTTGGACTTCAACTCCCAGGTGTTTTGGACTTCAACTCCTGGATTGGGCCTCCAGGTGTTTTGGACTTCAACTCCTGGGTTGGTCCTCCAGGTGTTTTGGACTTCAACTCCTGGATTGATCCTCCAGGTGTTTTGGAGTTCAACTCCCAGGTGTTTTGGACTTCAACTCCTGGGTTGGCCTCCAGGTGTTTTGGACTTCAATCCCAGGTGTTTTGGACTTCAACTCCCAGGTGTTTTGGACATCAACTCCTGGGTTGGGCCTCCAGATGTTTTGGACTTCAACTCCCAGATGTTTTGGCCTTCAACTCTCAGAAATCCTAACAGCTGGTAAACTGGCTGGGATTCCTGGGAGTTGTAGGCCAAAACACCTGGGGACCCACAGGTTGAGTGAGAACCACTGCTCTAGATGGAAGACCTAGAAGGAGCCTCTTTAGGCATTTTCTAGATCTTCCAGGTAACTCTACAGCCACTTACAAAGGGATGCGTAACATAGACTCACCTCGAAAACTTTGCAGATTCCTTGAGAGACCGTTTCTACATTCCCTTCAAATGCCCCGATTTGGCAGGAACATCCTGGGGATGATGGGGAATGTACTGCCAAAGGTTTTCATGGCTAGAATCACTGGGTTGTTGTAGGTTTTTTGGGCTATATGGCGATGTTCTAGAAGCATTCTCTCCTGATGTTTCACCTGCATCTATGGCAGCCACCCTCAGACCTCGCAACCTCTGAGGATGCTTGCCATAGATGCAGGCAAAACCTCAGGAGAGAATGCTTCTAGAACATGGCCCGAGAAACCTACAACAACCCAATGATGGAGATGTTGCCCAAGAGTCCTTTCTCCCACCCTGGACTTTCCACAGAGATATAAACCCAATTTTCCTAGTTTCAAGCAGACCTCACAACCTCTGAGGATGCTTGCCATAGATTCAGGTGAAATGTCAGGAGAGAATGCTTCTAGAACATGGCCCGAAAAACCTACAACAACCCAATGATGGGGAATGTTGCCCAAGAGTCCTTTCTCCCACCCTGGACTTTCCACAGAGATATAAACCCAATTTTCCTAGTTTCCAGCAGACCTCACAACCTCTGAGGATGCTTCCCATAGATGCAGGCAAAACCTCAGGAGAGAATGCTTCTGGAACATGGCCCGAAAAACCTACAACAACCCAATGATGGGGAATGTTGCCCAAGAGTCCTTTCTCCCACCCTGGACTTTCCACAGAGATATAAACCCAATTTTCCTAGTTTCAAGCAGACCTCACAACCTCTGAGGATGCCTGCCATAGATGCAGGCAAAACCTCAGGAGAGAATGCTTCTGGAACATGGCCCGAAAAACCTACAACAACCCAATGATGGGGAATGTTGCCCAAGAGTCCTTTCTCCCACCCTGGACTTTCCACAGAGATATAAACCCAGTTTTCCTAGTTTCAAGCAGACCTCACAACCTCTGAGGATGCCTGCCACAGATGCAGGCAAAACCTCAGGAGAGAATGCTTCTGGAACATGGCCCGAAAAACCTACAACAACCCAATGATGGGGAATGTTGCCCAAGAGTCCTTTCTCCCACCCTGGACTTTCCACAGAGATATAAACCCAATTTTCCTAGTTTCAAGCAGACCTCACAACCTCTGAGGATGCTTCCCATAGATGCAGGCAAAACCTCAGGAGAGAATGCTTCTGGAACATGGCCCGAAAAACCTACAACAACCCAATGATGGGGAATGTTGCCCAAGAGTCCTTTCTCCCACCCTGGACTTTCCACAGAGATATAAACCCAATTTTCCTAGTTTCCAGCAGACCTCACAACCTCTGAGGTTGCCTGCCACAGATGAAGGTGAAATGTCAGGAGAGAATGCTTCTAAAACATGGCCATACAGCCTGAAAAACCTACAACAACCCAAAGACCTTGTTGCCATCAGTATGGATGGTAGTTGAAGATGATGGGAGCGGTGGTCTGACCCATGCAGGAAGCACCTGAGCAGGTGGAAATGATTCCCTGCCCAGCGTTGATGCCTTGGTGTCTCCTTCCTGCAGGGATTCACCGTCAGAGAAGGAAACTCACCTTGGACCGCGCCCAGTCTGCAACGGCAACCTATGAAAATCTCCCCCGTCCAGGACTGAAGGCAGCTGAGGTGAGCCTCCGTGGAGCTCTTCCCTAGTCATGCATCTTCCTCTTTTCCTTTTACCTTCTACCTTTCCGTTACTTCCTTTTCTAGTGAGTCCTGTCTCTCATTTTGTGCAATTGTGATATATCCAAAGTTTAGCCTCAGTTTCGTCCTCTTAGAACCCAACTTAGCCAGCACCGGGACTGTGGCACAGCTGGTTGGGTCATGAGTTCGAAGCCAGCCTGGGTCGGAGTGAGCATCCGACCAATTTGTGTAGCTTACTGTCAACCTTTGCAGCCCAAAAGACTGTTGCATCTGTCAAGTAGGAAATTTAGGCACCGTTTATGCGTGGAGGCAAATTTAACTACCGTATATACTCGAGTATAAGCCGACCCAAATAAAAGCCGATGCACCTAATTTTACCACAAAAAAACCTGGGAAAACTTATTGACTCGAGTATAAGCTGAGGGTGGGAAATGCAGCAATTACGGGTAAATTTCAAAAATAAAATAGATCACACGTTGGACACTTATTATTATTACTATTGGGTTGTTGTTGTTGTTGTTGTTATTATTATTATTATTATTATTATTATTATTATTTGAAACACAACAAGATGAGTCCACAGCAGACAAGATCACTCTGCTGGCTGTTGTATTGGATCTCACATTGGACACTTGTTATTATTACTATTGGGTTGTTGTTGTTGTTGTTGTTATTATTATTATTATTATTATTATTATAATTAACACAACAAGATGAGTCCACAGCAAACAAGGTCACTCTGCTGGCTGTTGTATTGGATCACACTTTGGACACTATTATTATTATTTGGAACACAAGATGAGTCCACAGCAGACAAGACCACTCTGCAGGTTGTTGTATTGGATCACACATTGGACACTTATTATTATTACTATTGGGTTGTGGTTAATATTATTATTATTATTATTATTATTATTATTATTATTATTATTTGAAACACAACAAGATGAGTCCACAGCAGACAAGACCACTCTGCAGGTTGTTGTATTGGATCACACATTGGACACTTATTATTATTACTATTGGGTTGTGGTTAATATTATTATTATTATTATTATTATTATTATTATTATTATTATTATTATTTGAAACACAACAAGATGAGTCCACAGCAGACAAGACCACTCTGCAGGTTGTTGTATTGGATCACACATTGGACACTTATTATTATTACTATTGGGTTGTGGTTAATATTATTATTATTATTATTATTATTATTATTATTATTATTATTATTTGAAACACAACAAGATGAGTCCACAGCAGACAAGACCACTCTGCAGGTTGTTGTATTGGATCACACATTGGACACTTATTATTATTACTATTGGGTTGTGGTTAATATTATTATTATTATTATTATTATTATTATTTGAAACACAACAAGATGAGTCCACAGCAGACAAGACCACTCTGCAGGTTGTTGTATTGGATCACACATTGGACACTTATTATTATTACTATTGGGTTGTGGTTAATATTATTATTATTATTATTATTATTATTATTATTATTATTATTATTTGAAACACAACAAGATGAGTCCACAGCAGACAAGACCACTCTGCAGGTTGTTGTATTGGATCACACATTGGACACTTATTATTATTACTATTGGGTTGTGGTTAATATTATTATTATTATTATTATTATTATTATTATTATTATTATTTGAAACACAACAAGATGAGTCCACAGCAGACAAGACCACTCTGCAGGTTGTTGTATTGGATCACACATTGGACACTTATTATTATTACTATTGGGTTGTGGTTAATATATTATTATTATTATTATTATTATTATTATTATTATTATTTGGAACACAACAAGATGAGTCCACAGCAGACAAGACCACTCTGCAGGTTGTTGTATTGGATCACACATTGGACACTTATTATTATTACTATTGGGTTGTGGTTAATATTATTATTATTATTATTATTATTATTATTATTATTATTATTATTTGGAACACAACAAGATGAGTCCACAGCAGACAAGACCACTCTGCAGGTTGTTGTATTGGATCACACATTGGACACTTATTATTATTACTATTGGGTTGTGGTTAATATTATTATTATTATTATTATTATTATTATTATTATTATTATTATTATTATTTGAAACACAACAAGATGAGTCCACAGCAGACAAGACCACTCTGCAGGTTGTTGTATTGGATCACACATTGGACACTTATTATTATTACTATTGGGTTGTGGTTAATATTATTATTATTATTATTATTATTATTATTATTATTTGAAACACAACAAGATGAGTCCACAGCAGACAAGATCACTCTGCTGGCTGTTGTATTGGATCACATTATTATTATTATTATTATTTGAAACACAACAAGATGAGTCCACAGCAGACAAGACCACTCTGCAGGTTGTTGTATTGGATCACACATTGGACACTTATTATTATTACTATTGGGTTGTGGTTAATATTATTATTATTATTATTATTATTATTATTATTATTATTATTATTTGAAACACAACAAGATGAGTCCACAGCAGACAAGACCACTCTGCAGGTTGTTGTATTGGATCACACATTGGACACTTATTATTATTACTATTGGGTTGTGGTTAATATTATTATTATTATTATTATTATTATTTGAAACACAACAAGATGAGTCCACAGCAGACAAGACCACTCTGCAGGTTGTTGTATTGGATCACACATTGGACACTTATTATTATTACTATTGGGTTGTGGTTAATATTATTATTATTATTATTATTATTATTATTATTATTATTATTATTTGGAACACAACAAGATGAGTCCACAGCAGACAAGACCACTCTGCAGGTTGTTGTATTGGATCACACATTGGACACTTATTATTATTACTATTGGGTTGTGGTTAATATTATTATTATTATTATTATTATTATTATTATTATTATTATTTGAAACACAACAAGATGAGTCCACAGCAGACAAAATCACTCTGCCGGCTGTTGTATTGGATCTCACATTGGACACTTGTTATTATTACTATTGGGTTGTTGTTGTTGTTGTTATTATTATTATTATTATTATTATTATTATTATAATTAACACAACAAGATGAGTCCACAGCAAACAAGGTCACTCTGCTGGCTGTTGTATTGGATCACACTTTGGACACTATTATTATTATTTGGAACACAAGATGAGTCCACAGCAGACAAGACCACTCTGCAGGTTGTTGTATTGGATCACACATTGGACACTTATTATTATTACTATTGGGTTGTGGTTAATATTATTATTATTATTATTATTATTATTATTATTATTATTATTTGAAACACAACAAGATGAGTCCACAGCAGACAAGACCACTCTGCAGGTTGTTGTATTGGATCACACATTGGACACTTATTATTATTACTATTGGGTTGTGGTTAATATTATTATTATTATTATTATTATTATTATTATTATTATTATTTGAAACACAACAAGATGAGTCCACAGCAGACAAGACCACTCTGCAGGTTGTTGTATTGGATCACACATTGGACACTTATTATTATTACTATTGGGTTGTGGTTAATATTATTATTATTATTATTATTATTATTATTATTATTATTATTATTTGAAACACAACAAGATAAGTCCACAGCAGACAAGACCACTCTGCAGGTTGTTGTATTGGATCACACATTGGACACTTATTATTATTACTATTGGGTTGTGGTTAATATTATTATTATTATTATTATTATTATTATTATTATTATTATTATTATTTGAAACACAACAAGATGAGTCCACAGCAGACAAGACCACTCTGCAGGTTGTTGTATTGGATCACACATTGGACACTTATTATTATTACTATTGGGTTGTGGTTAATATTATTATTATTATTATTATTATTATTATTATTATTATTATTTGGAACACAACAAGATGAGTCCACAGCAGACAAGACCACTCTGCAGGTTGTTGTATTGGATCACACATTGGACACTTATTATTATTACTATTGGGTTGTGGTTAATATTATTATTATTATTATTATTATTTGAAACACAACAAGATGAGTCCACAGCAGACAAGACCACTCTGCAGGTTGTTGTATTGGATCACACGTCGGACACTTATTATTATTACTATTGGGTTGTGGTTAATATTATTATTATTATTATTATTATTATTATTATTATTATTAGAAACACAACAAGATGAGTCCACAGCAAACAAGATCACTCTGCCGGCTGTTGTATTGGATCACAAGTTGGACACTTCCCAAGTGTCTAGGACTTGGGACTTATTATTATTATTATTATTATTATTATTATTATTATTATTATTAAATATTAACACAACAAGATGAGTCCACAGCAAACAAGGTCACTCTGCTGGCTGTTGTATTGGATCACACTTTGGACACTATTATTATTATTTGGAACACAAGATGAGTCCACAGCAGACAAGACCACTCTGCAGGTTGTTGTATTGGATCACACATTGGACACTTATTATTATTACTATTGGGTTGTGGTTAATATTATTATTATTATTATTATTATTTGAAACACAACAAGATGAGTCCACAGCAGACAAGACCACTCTGCAGGTTGTTGTATTGGATCACACGTCGGACACTTATTATTATATTATTATTATTATTATATTATTATTATTATTATTATTATTATTATTATTATTATTATTTGAAACACAACAAGATGAGTCCACAGCAGACAAGACCACTCTGCAGGTTGTTGTATTGGATCACACATTGGACACTTATTATTATTACTATTGGGTTGTGGTTAATATTATTATTATTATTATTATTATTATTATTATTATTATTATTATTATTTGAAACACAACAAGATGAGTCCACAGCAGACAAGACCACTCTGCAGGTTGTTGTATTGGATCACACATTGGACACTTATTATTATTACTATTGGGTTGTGGTTAATATTATTATTATTATTATTATTATT